GAACTGAGAAAGTGCTAGTGTTAAGAATCGTATTGAGTTTGAATGTCAGTTTATTGACTAAGTAGCGTTCATTATATCTACTATCTGCAAGTGTGTTGTGAGGTTAAAAAAAACATAATACGGGGAATTGTGCTGGTAAATCAATACTCCCATTCTGAAGCATTCAAAATTGGCTTAAATATCACAAGATTAAAAAAAAATGAGGTTCTTTTAATTTGCCTTTTGATTTTTGAATTTTTGGGATACCCATTTTCGAACTTCTCTTAGGTACTGCGAGACCAAGGACCTACCCCTTTTCTCAGTTTTCTTCCTTCCTTCTTTGACAGCTCTCATTTTCGTGTAATAGGAGGCTTCTGGTAGCCCGGGACTTAATCAGAAAACAGAAGTTAAATTATACTTTCCCCTAATGAATATTCATAATCTCCAAATAGGAGCAAACTTTAGTAGAAACTGAAAAACTTTCCTGGGAAATATATTTATCTGAATAATTTGCTTGGTAAGCCTTTGTTTTGTTTAACACATTTCATGTTACAGCTGCATGACTAAAGGTCTTCAGATGTGAAGTTCCCTAAATTCTTCTCTTGATATCCTCTTAATGTTCTGGTCTTCATAGATAAGAGGGGGATCATTTGCAAATCAATGATCTTTCAGCCCTTGTTGAGCCAGTTATGCATATGATCAGATTTTGATATTGGTTGGGGGAAGCTGTTATAGAGTTTTCTAGTTTCTTTAGGACAAATCCATATTAAATTGACTCAAACTCCTCCTTTGTTAATGCCTTGACTTGTAGCCAGGAATTAGCGTGCTTTTAAAGTAATGTGCTGCTTGGAGTAATTTTGAGTAACTTTTTTCTTAAATATTTTACAGTGTGATTGATCACAATGACTGTTTTGTTTCTTTTTCTTTTGAAAAACAGCTGTTTAAATAGTCTAGGGAAAACATTTCAAGATGTTCAGGAGTGGGGAAGCTGTTTGAAATCTTAATAAAAACTGTTTGGAATTTCGTGTTTTCAGTTTTTCATGTGTGAATGGTCATGAAAGTGAAGAATTAAAAGAATGGCTCAGAGCTGCAAGTAATGGTGCTAACAAACTTGTTATAGTTTTGGTAATACAGTTTAATCTTAACCAGTAGCACCTGGAAATCCAGTCCTAAATTGGTCTGAAGCAGAGATTAGCTGCACACACAATTGTTGTGCAGTGATCTGAATGCCAGAAGTTGACTAAGTGTAGCACTTAAAGGGGGCCCTTTCTAGTGCTAACAAAAGTCAGTGGGAATGCTCCCACTGACTTCCATGGGCATTGGATGAAGACCATACACAAGTGTTTTGTGCAGATTTCGTAACTGCATATCATGGAATCATGCAGTTATGGCCAGTAAAGGGAGGAAGAACTTGAGTCATCTTTCTCTCTCTTCTTTCTGAAATTAACAGGGAAACGTATAGATTTATTTAATGGAATCTGAAGTATTGCTTATTTAAGTAATATTTTGGTTTTCAGGCATATTGCTTGGTATGTATAGAAAAAAAACACTCTTTCCCCCAAAATAAAATAGTGTCTTATTGTAGTGAACATAAGAGGTGCCGTACTATGTCAGAGCAATGGTCCACCTAGCCTTGTATCCTATTTCTGATGGTGGCAAAGGTGGATTCTTTAGAGGGAGAGCACTGAACCAAAGGGATATATTCATTACCCTCTCTGGCATCTAATGTTACCGGTTTAGAGATGCCAGAGGAAACATTTCCAACCATTTTGTTCAACAGCTATTAATAGATCTATCATATATGAATTTGTCTAGTGCCTTTTTGAACCTGGTTTATACTGTCTGCCCCCACGACCACCTGGGGCAATGAATTCCGTAAGTTAATTATGTGTTGCCTAATGAAGCACTTTCTCTTGTTAGTTTTAAAACACTCTTGTACTAAGTTCAGTCTGTGCTAACTCATCTAGTATTCTGGGAGCTGGCAAGTAAGAGTTCCCTGTTCACTTTGTCTATACCCTTAGTGATTTCATAGACCTCTATCATAATCCTGCTTGGCCTTCTCCTTTCCAGACTAAAGAATCTTAGACTGCTTAGTCTCTCCTGGTATGGCAACTGCTCCATACCCCTGATCATTTTGGTTGCCTTTCTCTATGTTTTCCAGTTCTACTACATCTTTTTTGAGATGCAGAGACCCAGAACTGTACACAGTATTCAAGATGTGGGAGCACCATGAATTTGTATAATGGCATGATGATGTTTTTCATTTTCCTGTCTTACAGTGCCCAAATCTTATTGGCTTTTTGGTCACTGCAGCACACTGAGCTGATGTTTTTGGACAACTCTCAGGAAGAGACCTTGGAGTCATTGTAGAGTTGTAACAGGATTGTGTAGGTATAGTTGAGGTTCTTTTTCTCCAAGTATATTACCTTGCATTTGTTGATACAGAAGTTCATCTGCCATTTTTTTGCGCGCTTACTTAGCTTGGTGAGATCTTTCTGTAACTTCTCTCTGTCAGCTTGGGATTTAACTACCTGGAATAATTTAGTGTCATCTGCAGACTTGGAGATTCCATTATGTATCACCATTTCCAGATCATTGATGAAAACGTTGAATAAAACTGAGTCCAGCACAGATCTCCTTCGGACCCCATTTTTGATCTCCCTCCATCCTGAGAAGTGACCATTTAGCCCTGTACTTTGCTTCCTACCGTTTAGCCAGCTCTCAGTTCACAAAAGAACCTCCTCTCCATTCCTGTGGCAGTGCAGTTTTTTAAAAAGCCTTTGTTGAGGGACATTCCCCAAAGTTCTTTGAAAATCCAAATATATTATTTTAGCTGGATACCCCTTGTTCACATGCTTGTTTACACCCTAAAGTAACTCCGGTGAATTGGTGGGGCAGGATTTTCCTTTACAAAAATTGCTGCCTCTTCCGCAGCAGATTATATTTGTCCATGTGACTACTGATCTGATTTTTTATGGATTCTACCAGCTTGCCAGGGATGCAAGTGAGACTCATTGATCTGTAGTTCTCAGGATCACCTCTTGAATCTTTCTTGTAGATTGGTGTTATGTTGACAAACTGCTAGAGTCCGCTCGAAATTATAGTTTACATGCTATTGCAGTTTTGCAACTTCACCTTTGAGTTTCTTCAGACCTCTCAGGTGAATGTCATCTGGTCAGCATAATGTATTAGTATTACACTTATTAATTCTTATTTCTTCTGGTATCACTTCAGTGTGATCCAACTCGTCAGACTTGTCTACTAGGAAGGATTGATCTGGCATGGGAATTTGCTTAGTATCTTCTGCATTAAAGACCGATACAAAAAATTCACTTAACTTCTCTGCTATGACCATGTCATCCTTGAGTGCACCTTTTACACCTTCATCATCTAATGGTCCCACTGATTCACTGGCTTCATGCGTCTGATGTGTTGTAAAAAAAAAAAAGTTTTTATTATTAACTTTAACATCTTTTGCTAGATGATCCTCAAATTCTTTTTCATGAGGAGACTGCAGACCTGATGGCATGGATTTTGGTTTATGTTGCTGTCTTTACTATTGCTGCATTTTTATACTAACATGAGTAGAAAACTGACAGGCTTGCAAGTGTTTTAACTGTGGAAAACTATACCTTTAAAGATGCACCACAAGAATATGAGGACTGAGGTTCTTTTTTGTCATCTGGCACATGAAAAGCCTGTGCTGATATGTACATGTGAAGGCCTTATTCAATTCCCACTATTGCCTACGGAAGGAATTTCATTGACTACTTAACATTTGCTGAAATTCACTTTGTGTTGGCAAAAGAGCAACACAAGAAGGAAAAGAAAATGTACCAATCTTGCCGGGGCGGAAGTATTGGCAGCATTGGGACAATATGTATGGGTGCCTCCACACAACTCAGAAGCATAAATAAAATAAAATCAAATAATAAATGTTTTTCAGGGGCAACAGACAATGACTTTGTTAGTTCTACCTACTGGCAGTGGTATTGGTTTTCTGACATTTTATTCTTAGACCATTATTTCCATTGTATACGCTGTTTTAGAAACAGGATAAAAAGATGGGTATTAAAGTAGTTCATTAAAAAAAAATATGGAACTAAACTGGTAATTGTATGAGGACAGACCAGTAGAGAGGCATTTTTAGCCAATTCTTATTAAAACATTAACAACTAGAACTATACAGTTAATAAAAGCAGTTAAATCATATTATTTGAAGATGCATGTTACAGTAATTTGTCATATCTTTCACACAAAATTAACTGATGGAAGGTAGTTTAGGAAGAATGTGTTTAATGGATTATCTTGATTATCTTGAGCAATTATTGAACTGATCTACATGCTGGAAAGCAGCATCATGTTTGAGCCCAGTATTTTTTTATTTTTGGTTTTGCCTTTTGTAACCTTATAAAGGGTATAAATAAACTCTTGCATATTTTATTTTTGTCCTTATTTGTTTCTTGGTGTTTTATCCATCTTAATGAATATGCTATTTTCATCTGAAGTTGCTACAAAATGCTCTGTTTGTGGACGTGACTATTTTGATCATTCTTTTCCACCCTCCAGGTGGTAAAGGGACATGGAACCACTTGTCTTGTCTTGGGCTGGAGGGAAACTTATTTTGAAGTAAGGAAAAACATTAAGTCAGGAATTCCTTCCCCCACTGCCCCCTCCTTCCACTTCTCTTTTGAGCAAAGCTTGTTGCCTGTAGCTCTTGGGAAAATCAGGAAAGTTGTCTCATTGTTCTGTAGACAGGCTTTTAAGAGCAAAACTGTTAGAATAAGGATTTGAGATTAACAGCTCCTGAATTTTCTGTTTTGTTTAGTGTGTTCTTCATCTAACTATTTAAACATGAGTTGAGACCTTTTTTGTTCTAGTATAATCATTGCTAAACTATTTCAGATAAGTTTGCAAGAGATTACTTAGGCCGTAGCGAATGATAGCTAGAACTTATTTTGGGGTTTTTAAATTTTTTTTGCTAGAAAAATTTAGTGAGATGTTTTCCTTTGTCTCTGTAGTTATCAGAGACTGTTACAGACGATTGCTGTACTCGAGGCTCAGCGCACTCAAGCAGTTCAAGACCTTGAAAATTTAGGCAGACACCAGAGAGAAGCACTGAAGAATCCCATTGGATTTGTGGAAAGACTCCAAAAGAAGGTATATAATAGGCGTTTCTAAAATTTTATTTAAAAATGTTTTGATAACCAATAATTCATCACCTGTAAAAGCTAATTTACACAGGCATGTCCAGGGTTAAGACAAGCAAGGTTCTTTGAGTCGATGTGATATCTTTTATTAGATCAACTGAGTAGTTAGAAAAAAGTTTTTAGCAAGCTTTTGGGTACAGTCACTCTTCTTCAGGCATAAGGAGTCTCTGCTGTATAGGGTTAAAGTTCTTCAATGAGAGAACGTTATCCTCTTCAGGCTTGAGGGTGCTTAAATACTGTCAAATATAAGCATTTTTAAAGATTTTGTGGGTATAGTTTCAATTGGCGTGTAGGATACATTTCACTGGAGTCTGGAATTCTTGCTCTTACACCTCTGACACGCACAGACTTTTTATCATGTCTAGAAGTCCCGTGTTGATATAAGAGGGAGGTGGTTTGCTGTGCTAGCCAGAAGTCAAGCAGAAGAAAGGACTGGTTGGTGCCTTAGAAACTAACTGGCTCAGAGAGGCATAAGCTTTGACAGCTGTGAAAACTTATGCCTCTCAGAACCAGCTAGATCAGTGGTTCCCTATCTGGTACACCAATGGTACTCAGACAACCTGTCAGTAGTACATGTTAACAGATTTATTATAATTACTTTATATGACAGAAATGTGCTGGTGGTGCATAAGGTTGAACTGAAATATTTGGTAGTGGTACCTATGGTTGTATCATTTGAAATTGGTGGTGCACAATGTTTTAGAGTTTGGGAGCCGCTGAAAGGAGATATTCTGTAGGGCATCAAAAAGAAATTGTGGATTTTGTCACCATAAATGCTGTGATGTGGTTGAATTCCTTTTTATGTCCAGTACTTACTAAGTGGAGGCTGGGTAGGGAGAACAGTTCATAAACTTGCAAACAAAATGAGTTCTAGAAAGTCTGCCACAGACCAGCACTGCGCCAGGGATTGCTCCAAAGCAGCATGCAGGTGTGAAGGAGGAGGAAAATGAATTTTGGTGAAGACAGATTTCAAAAAAAGTTAGAAAAGGGATAAAAGGGAAAGAAGGTTTTTAAGGGTTTTACTCAGTTCCTTACTGGTGTCTTTTTGTCTGTTTGTTTATAAGTAAAAGCAGTGTTTGGCTTTGTAGTATGACAGCAATGAATCCTGCTTCAGTATAGGGTGAGCTGTGTACTTTGAGATGCCCTTTCCTTGGCTTTTAGGGTCTTTGGTCTGAGCGAAGGTCATTGAAATCAATAGTTGCCCTTTCATTGACTTTTGTGGTGCTGAATTGAGCTCTAAGCAAGTTGTGACAGATTCATTTGGTATCGAAGCATTGGGCTCTAACAATCATGTTGGTCAAACCTGGACTATTAATGCCAGTTGCAAAGCATTCCATGTATTTTCCTGTCTAGAAATAGAAGAAATAATGTCAAATAGTTAATATGTGAATGTAAAATCATTGACCCTAGAATAACATGGGCATTGCCAGCAATTGTATTCTGAGCAGCAAATAGCAAAATCAGTTTAACAATGAAAGTGCAGCATAAAACACACACTCATTTTTTGTTTTAGTTTGCCTTAGTTTGCCAAAAAGAGCACAAGTCTGGGTATACAATATGCTTTTTTTGTAGTATTTAACAAACTGATCAGATAGCTAGTAACAGGATATGAAAATTGGAAGCACTTGATTGTAACTGTGCAGTGTAATTTTAAACTCCATGTCCAGTAAGCCATTATTGACTGTGCTGCTGCATATTTTATACGCCCTGCTGTGTACTGCTCTTTGAAAATGTTTTTCCATAGAAAAGTATGTGCTATCTGGTACATTTGAAGTCCTGCTGTTTGCTGAAAAGAGATTCAGGGTTTATATAGCCAACTTGGATGTGCAGTGAATGCATTAAACAACACTCTTATTCTTATCCTTTCAGGTTGATATGGGGCTTCCATATCCTCAAAGGGTTGTCCAGCTACCTGAGATTGCCTGGGACCAATACACCACCAGCCTTGGAAACTTTGAGAGAGAATTCAAAAACCGAAAACGTAATAGTAGGAGAGTGAAGCTGATTTTTGATAAAGGTAAGCAGTTTTAGGGCATTTTGCCATAGCTCCAGAAACATTAGTTCAAGCCTCATGCTTGTGGTAAAAGCTGTGTGCCCAGCTGACCAAGCTATAATTAGGTATCTTCAAATCAGGCTGAGAAAAGGCTCTTTGACCTTTAATTTTTTTAAAAGTGTATTTTATAAGGAAAAAAAACCCCGTGTTCTATGTTGATTTAAGAATTTCTTTATTGCATTACTTATAGTAGGTTTACCCGCAAGACCAAAAAGTCCTTTGGATCCTAAGAAGGATGGAGAGTCTGTTTCATACTCTGTATTGCCTTTAAGTGATGGTCCAGAAGGTTCAACCAGCAGTCGCCCACAGGTAATTATTACTGTAAAGAAAGACAGAATTTTACAAAACAGTGTTAAGTAGTTTGTGGATTAGTACTGGATTACTTGGGTAGTTTTAATTGATTCTTTCTCCATTTTCAAATGTTCAAAAATTCACTTATAAAAGGACTCAGCGAAGTCATTTTTAATGTGATCAAGTCACAGACCTTTTAGTCCTCAGTCAAAAGAGCATTTCACATTTGTGGTTTTTTTGGGGTTTTATTTTGTTTTTCTTTACTTGGGTGGAAAAAGGGTTAAAGTCAAGTTATCCTAACTTTTTTTCTAAAGACCTATTCCATGTTATATACTGTATTTAAGCAGATGATAAGAGGGCGACTTTGCGATGAGACCAAACCCGAAACTTTTAACCAGCTGTGGACTGTAGAAGAACAGGTAATGGGAAACCCTAGCTAGCTTATAGACTATTTTGTAACTGTATAGTGATGATCACAAAAATAAAATCAAATTGTGTAGAAACATGTAAAAAACATAATGCTTAAAAATATGTGTACCTACGTATTCCTTTTTGGCACCAATTTGATTTTCTTTTTAGTGACAATGTCAGGTCTCTTCCAGGTAAGATGCATTCATTTTTTTTTTATGTTGTCATGTGTTTGATTTAGAAAAAACTTGAACAGTTACTCTTGAAGTACCCACCAGAGGAAGTAGAATCCCGACGATGGCAGAAGATAGCTGATGAACTGGGAAATCGAACAGCAAAACAGGTAAGCCCTGGAAGCTGTGAGGTTCTCATCTGCGTATTTCACTCAGTGATGGAGTCTCATGTGAGATTTGCCTTGCAAAAAGTCAGGTCAATTCATAAGAAAGGCACAAAGATTTTTTTAAAATGTTTTAAAATTAATGTAAGAAGCTGAGCTGTATGGAGAATTAAAACAGGAATTGCAGGAATTCACCAGGTGTTCCAGTAGGAAAAGATTTAGTTGCTTTGGGGAAATGTTGCTAAAAAGTTCTTTGGTTGGTTTGATGGCTATGCTGTGAAACTACTGACATCAATAGCTATATCCCAATAGTTGACGTGGCATGAATATTGGAGCTGTCCCTGGCCTACTTTTTAGAATTAGGAAAACAAAGATAACATTTAAAAAACCTGATAAATTTGTCAGTTCAGCTAATTCATACTTTTAAGAAAAAGTGAATCGGCAAGGTCTGTACATCTGAAACCTTCTCTACTAAGGGACCTGTTCTGAACAGCCTTAGAACCTTTTGTTCTAAGACTTAAATGTAGAATTTTAATAAATGCCTACAAACCATGACAAAGCTGCCAGGTCTAATTTCTGTTAATTAAAATATCAGAGTGTTTCTTTAACATTGTTTAGGAAGTAGAACGGCACCATTTCCTGATAGACTCAATTACTTTAAACTCTAGTGTTAAATTACAGGCAATCCTCAGACTTATGATGCAATTGGTTCCTGAAAACTGAGTCTTAGGTTGAAATGTTGCAATTTGGAACCAATTTTCCCATAGGAACAATGTTCTAAATGGCGGATTGGTTCCTTTACCATGCTCAACACAGCTGCCTCCAGCTGGTAAGTCTGTTCTGGTGGGGCATGGGGGCGCAGATCAATGCCCCTGCAGCAAGGGAAGGATTGGAGCTCGTGCTAGGCCAGGGGCTGGGGCAAGGGGCTGCCCAGCTGGGGAGGGGAGTGGGGTGTGGGGAGAGGGTGGGCAGCTCCTGCTGCTGTGGGCTGCCGGTCCGGGATCTGCTTGTCTGGTGGTTTGTCTGGCAGCTCTCTCTACTGTGCGCCACCAGTTTGGGAGGGCATGGGTGGAGGAAGGGTATGTGCCCACAGATCTAAGCGGGAAGGGCGGGGCCAAGGCTGAGGCAGTTTGCGCTCCAGGCAAGCGGCGGAAGACGCTGGAAGCAGGGGACATGCCCTCCTGCCACTCGCCCAGCTGTGGTGGAGTGAAGCCACTGCACTGCCTCTAGACAAGCGGCACACAGCAGCCGGAGCCACCCTGGCCTCCCCGCTTCTCCCAGACGAGCCACAGCTTTGCCCTGCCCCACCCTGGCTG